AATTTCGCTTTTGTACACAACTTGAATTATTGATACAGGTGTTGGAAGTTGAGTTCCATGATAGATTAACGATATGTATATCAACAATGAGAAGTAAGAATCACTAATGTACTGATAAGAAGAAGAAACGGGTAATTCAACAGTAGTGAATTCGATATTATTGACTTAAATGAAACAAAACAAAGTGATCCATGTCAACGCTTCTGGGAGAGAGAGAGAGCGAGAAAATTGTTAAAAACACTCGATGTAATGATATGTTTAAGAAATAAAAACTAATAGGTCACTAATGAATTTTCCTATAGAAAGATTACTGTGGATTAAGAAAATTTGTGCCGACGTAAATATGACTGAGTTATTTATCTTGGTAAATGAAACATTCTTTACTTTTATGTATACTAACATCATGACTGCCATAAAATAAAAATACATAATTACCTACGTCTTTTAATGTTTTTGCACTGTATTCTTGCACCATACAATTGATTAAATAAATAAATATACATAACATACATATCTAACTATATTTACATGCAATTAAATTCATTTCATGATTGTTAATTAAAAAAAACTAAATAAATACTACACATAAACATGAACCTAGGTGAGAAAGAAGAAAAAACGAGAAACCGTACTAATTTAGATCTTTCAACAACAAGGAGAAAATATTCTTTTCTCTATTTGTTAAAATCAATAATACATTTGCGTAACCAATATACTATAAAAGACTTTCTATACAATAAAAATGATGTTTTTTAAGCTACAGCCGGAATGAATTATCTGGGAATAATATTTTATAACTAATTATTATTATTATTGTAAAATGATCTTTTTTATATTATAGAGAATATTATGAAGATTGTTGTTTTACTTTGAAATTTTGTACCAATCCATGTTAGATCATCATTAGAAAGTTGGAAGCACTAGATAGTCGTCTCATCCTAGAGTATATGGGTGTCTGAATTCATCAGCAGTGTGCATATTATTTACTCATTAATCAGAGAGTAATAATTTAAAATTATTCATGTTAACATATATTTGTAAATATATTGTATCTTTAATAAATGACTCATTAGTTGACATTTTATTTTCTACTATGATTATTTCGACTGCTTTACCATTTCCTTATGCTAATTTCATCTCATCATACTAACACATATGTATATATATGTATGTTGTGGCAATTTGAATCAATGCATACTTTTTTTTCGCCAGTCTCTTTATGTATGTATATATGACTAATTGACTAAAATTAAAAATAAATTAGTGTTGATTCACACACAAATTAATTTGACCAATAGAATTCATGCTAAAGCATGCAATCCACTCTATTATCTATCTTTAACATGACAGATTCAAAAAATAAAGAACTTGTATGAAAGGCTTGAGAAAGAGAGAGTGAGATGAGATAAAGAGAAAAAAAAGCAACATTTTCATATCAATACAAAATTTTGCAATCAAGTTAATAATCATAATGATAAGGCGCTTAGGTGAATTAATTTCAATATCATTGTCAAAGTGTGTATCATATTGAAACATTGACAATAAAGTTCACTCATTGTTGGAATTTTTCATATTATCATCTCTAAGCCATCTGACATTTGTAAAATTAATTGACTGGCATAGAAATTTTTCTTAAGAAAAAAATATTTAATGACATTTTTACCAGTCAATCCTGTATGATTAATAAAAAAAGAAATTCTGTCAAGTAAAATATTTGAACTTGTTCTTACCTGCAATAAGTTTAGATGAATATACCATTTTTACAGGATATTTGTTATTACTATCATTATTATTATTATTGTTCTAAGCTTATGTATGTATATGCATCAGAACAATGAATATTAATATGAATTACTCAAATGTAAATAGGGATATTGCTTAGTTAAGTATTGTACATATTGTATACAAATGGAATGAATTGATTTTCTTATTGAAACATTTAACTAGATGGTGAATTTAAAACAAAACAGACTTCTAAGCAAACAAGAATAAACATATATATATATATATATATATATATATATATGCATAAGAAAAACGAACAGAAATAATTTTTAGAGTCAATTTGAATACATATCTGTGAATAATAATCTTGGTAAATACATTAGATAAGAGTGAATTAATGCGACAAATCCTATACTTCTTTCTCATTTTTACATATAAAATAATTTCAGACTTGTATGCGTCAATAAATTAGCGGGTAAAAGGAGTGAAACAATGAAGAAGTATGTTAAATATGTCTTGAATAGGATAAGACATATGTTTCAGACTCTACTAATAGCCACCACCAAAAGATTATAAACTATACGATAAAAATCCACTCAAAGTCTAATTACAGTGAAAGAGATTGATCATTTGTAGTCCTGAATGTCAAAAACGGAAAATCGTAAACTACATTTACTACATTAACGATGCTTTAGATTGGAAACATAATATGGAATCTTCACAGAAACATACAGTGAGTCAACTTGTACAACTTTTCAGCAGTATCATAACGTAATTTACCATACCCATGTGAAACTGTTGGGGATGTTAGATCCCCAGAACCCGCTTGATAAATATCTTTATTTTGGATTCATTTCATGGACCGATTAGTTGACCCTGAGATCACATTTCCCACCAGGAGAATCCTTGACTGTGATTGGTTACTGTTTTATTTTAGTGTGCTATTTTGTCACTGCCCCAAGAACGTCTCTATGGTGTTTAAATAAACGCGATTTATGTGCTTGGATGTATTTTGTGCTGGCTGGGTGTTTTTAGAATACACTTTCTACGTTATATCGAGAATTCTTGCTGGTACAATTGGGACAATCGGATCACAGTAGCCTAACTGGACGCTGGTTGATTGTTTTGTTCTCTTAATTCGACTAAGATGAACTCGTAATAGTTGAAGCATACCTAGAGACGAGTATTACGGAAACATGCCCACTAAGAGTAGAGGATATTTTTAGGTTTCTTCTATTCGGTCATTGGTATCTTGAAAGCGTTGTTCGCTTATCGTGCGGCAAGCGAGTAAGCAATGCTGGTGTTAAGAACCGGGTACTAAGTAAGGATGGCTGAAGTAGTAAACCGTCATCAGTTGAGGTGGTTGGGAGATGTGTTACGTATGGCCAACCACCGACTACCTTGACAAGCAATGTTTTGTGATATAGGGTTAGCCTAGAATAAAGCTCGGGGCGGCTAAAACGAAACATGGCACAAATCCATGAAGTCACTGAAAACTAGACTGAGCCATGTAAGCAGGTGTAGACTACCTGACAGGGGTTCATGAGGAAATGGTAACCGATGGTTTAAGACTTTAAAGGGAAAGGTTCGAAATCGTTTTCACTGGTGCAGGTGCATCCATTCTTTGTCTTCACTCAAATCCTAATATTCTGAATTCCTCATCACCTTTATCTTTCTCTTTGTAAGTATAATTTACCGGACTATACTTCATGAATAACATCTTCAGACACTAATCTTCTGCATTACTGCTAATACTTCTATTACAAATACTACTATGGGATCCGAATAGACAATTCTATCTGTCTGTGCTAGTGTGGTATGGCAGCATGAACTGATATACCTACGTACGAAGTTCTACGTTGTAGCTGATTGACCGATGTATAAAGATATCGAGTGAGAAAGAGACTTACTGAGTTCACTATTTGAGTTAGTGAAAATGCACTGATTTCTTAAAAACTAATATACATCACTTACTAACCCGTAACAATTTTAAACACTCTTAAGTTTTAAAATCCTTTTTCCAGATAGCCATAATTTGAAAAACAATCAAACATTGAATATATAAAAAGATGTAGAATGAAATGAAAGGACTGTCTTGTTTTGTTTGATTACTATTTTTAATATGCAACCCCGATTGACTGACAGTGTTAATAGTTAAATTCCATAAAGTAACTCAATCCAAAGCCATAATTTTAATGTCTGATTAGAATTTGATAATGTGGATAGTGAGTTTTGAAATGATAAAAAAGATTTGTCGAACAAGGGTACGATTTTAGCAACACTCTCCAAATATCATTCACAATACTTCAAGAATATGTCACACGGTTTAGTTAATTATTTGCACGAAATGTAGAACATGGCACATTTGTTCATCATTCCAAGTTGTCACACAATATTAGCACAACAAAACGAAACTATCAAGAGATCCCACAGTAATATTAGTAAGAGTATCGATGGTAGTAGAAAAGATTAAGCTAAAACGGCATAACAGTGACATGATATTAGATCATTTTGGCAAAGTGGTCAATAAAAGTGTCGACAGGTATGTCAAAAGACAAATGATGGCAACCCATATCATCAAGAAACATTAAATAAGCACTCAAAAGGAAATTATGAAGTATGCTTTTTTTGAAGTCACAGTGCTGAAAGTTGCCTAATGCAGACAACTAAAATTAAATCGTTTCACTCAGTAAAGATAACTCCACTGGAAATATCCACATGCATCACAAATTTTCTCGATTCCGTCACTGAGATCTGTAATAGTTGAATCAACTACTTGAATACAAACCCGAATTTTTATTATTGACAAAAGAATGGAAGTTGTTTACTTTGAATCAGATGTAATGAATAAGCACAACACACTATCAACATCAAAAATAGCAGAACTAGTTCCCTCAAATGAATATTTCGTATGAAGCTATTCTTTCATCATGATACATAAATTGATGGTAGCAGTATAGGGGGAAATTTGGCCGTTTTTAGTAGGCAGAAACATTGAGTTTAGAGCCGTTTATTTGGTTCCTGAATAATTTTCAATACTCAACTAGTTTAAATTAAGCGTCAGTGTGAGCATTCAGCTTCGCAAAATATCCGCATTCATATTACTGCAGTACGTGGGTGGAATGGAAATACAGAAATGCGATATACATCAATGAATTGTTAGTAACTATGTTCGTGAGATAAGCAGAGGGGCTAAAGTTATGTTTGAAAATGTAACAATTTAACTAAGCGAAATGTAGTTTGGTTCAAATACAACCATATGTAGTGCAACTTACCAATATTATTCTTTATGCTACGATTTTCATCAAATAGAGTACCGCGTATTATTAAATCATAAATTCTAGTCCATCCCTCTTTTTGTGACTGAAAACTCCATAACAAACTATTGCCAACAAAGCCGGTATGTGAACTGTCATATGCTTTACAAGCAGGTATACACAGTGTAGATGTTTGTTGAGATGTACAATTGTACGAAGATCCAAATGAATTCGTCGTATTTTTATCGAATCCATAACCAACGCTGATAGTTTGTTTAAGATTTTCAGGTTGATCAGCTGTTATAAAACACAAAAATTCAAAACTACATTTACGCAAGTTATAAAAAGACTGAGATATGATTTCACCAACTTGAGATATCATAATAAAGCGTCTAAATACTTTATAGGCTTCAACCATGTTGCGTCAACGGTTATCATTCAAGCAAGTTGCTGATTTACTGTATCCCAGTTATGTGGAGCTACCTTGTCTACTATATGGATTCAGACGATATTTCGTATTTAATTAAGTCAACATAAAGAATCTATTCAGTAACAACACGACGTAATCAAAATGATTTTAGACACCTAAGCCTATTTCGATTCATTATACTAGGTTTAAAAATCAAAACCAACGAATTGACATATGAGGGTTTCTTGTTTACGTTGGAGAGAACCATGATCTTTCATCAAAATGGGTAGAATTAGGGGCATCCATTATATAAACTTAATGGATACTGGATCACCTTCGTACTACGAATCTCGGAGGCTCCAATCCAATCCTCTTAAAACTGCTTTAAAAAGCGTTCAGTACTACAAAAAGTCTGAGATAGCATATACTTATGACTGGTTGTCATAAGATATAATCTAGAATTCTCACTGAATTTTATCCTCAAAAAGATAGAAGACAAATTGGTGTAATCATGTAGTACATTTAGGAAAATTCATGATATTAATGTCCTCCATTGACATGCACATTTGCGAAATTGTAAGTAGCGCATTAGCATCAATTTGAAGTCATAAGGAAGCAATTTAAACGTTAAACGTTCACATCTTCATTTTCATTTATTCACGAAAATGTTTCAAACAAAAGGTAACAGTAGTCAAGGGAAATTAAAAATGTTTCGACTCAGCTTTTTAAAAAGTACATTTAAATATATTGTACAATACATGGAAAATTAGGTATATATCAGATGTATACAGGTGTCAGGTTCATCGGAAATAAGTAAAAATAGGCTAAGGAAACTAATGTCTCAAAACGTTTCAATCTTTTGCCCGAAAATGCTTAGATTTACCAGTAATAAATGAATATATTTGCCATGGAATGAATGAAAAAAAAGACTTACAAGTAATCTCCACTGAGCTGATTCGATATAATCCGCCAAGATCAACAAGAAGATTAACTTTCTGATCTACATCAGCATGGAAAAGTCCATGTGTGTTTTTATCGTTGTCAAATATGTCTTCTATTTTTCTTGCAGCGAGGATCTTTGTCAAAAGCCTATGATCATGTGCTTTTATATCAACAACATCATCTGATGTCAAATCAGATAATGATTTAGAAACAGAAGTAAAGACAAGTAAGGACAAATATAAGAGGTACATCCCGAACGTTTGTCACCTTAGTCAAAATCGTTCTAGCGTCTGTAACGTTACACCACTGATTAATTAAAACAAAATTTGGCGATTTTTGTGGAATAGCACAAATACGATGAAGGAAAAGATTTATATCAATAACTATTTCAGAGCTAAAGATTCTACAATACTCTTCTTCATGCCTAAGTAGTGTGGACAATGTGTTGGTGGACTTGCGTCTAGCCTACTAGCTTGTATTCAAGTGAAGATTCAACTTGTTCTTGAGGTTTTTCACTCATTGGGCCAATACCGGTATTCCTGGTTAACCACTCGTCCAGTGACGGAATAGAATCTTCATCTGAATTTATTTGAACAGGACAGATTGTAGATATCCTTTCTTTAGAAAATAAAATAGTACAACATTTAAACAGCCGAATCATTATCATGGATACGAAACGATAGTCTAGCGTCACTTGTGTGGGATGAAAGTCTTTAATCGTTTTGAACGTTTCCTACAGGAGAGCTCAGAAAGACTTGTTACTAGCAGAACATAGGATAGCTGCTTAGGTGCAGTTCTGTTGATGAGATCCGGCATAGGTTGCTAACAGAACCCAAAACTTTTATTTGTAAATGCATTTGAATGCCTAGTGAAATGAAAATAACACTGAAACCCTTTATTAGATTCTGTATTACGTTATGCAGTTGTTTTAAAGTCATTACTAGCTGTATCTTGTGAGTATTTTGGTTTATAAGGGGATGTTAGCGATGTACAGTTGGTAATATACTGTGAGCCATTGCGCCTAGTTAATGAGTGACGAAAATCTGTAGTGTGTGTACTTTTGTGTCGAGCACACAGGGTTTGTCCCAGATATCCATATCATTTCGTCTGACTATAAATACGTAGTCATGTTTCATAGCAAATAAGTGGTTCCTTCGCCTTCTCCACTTCGCTTCTCTTTGTCTTGCTTGTACACTTTTCATACTCATATCTGCCTGTATAAACGGTTGCATGAAATAAATCCAACCAACCAAACCTGTATTTGGCTTCTTATGCTCGCCTGAGTCCGATATACGGAAATTGGAGGGGAGAATTATGTCATAGCATGTATGACTATTAGTCCAAAAAGGGCGACAGGCCATTGAAGTAGTTGGGCCAACTTTTACTTCAGCTCATCCACAAGGCTAGTAAGCCCGAAATCGGACCAGAAGTCTCTTTCTGGAGCTAGTTTCTAAGTTCCAATATTGGGATTGTCTGAATAATTTATCTGAGTCCAAACAATCAGTCAACCTACTTATTGTTCTCCACATTTCGACATAATCTACAAACAATAGTGCAAATGACTCATGCAGACTCTGCAGTCCATTTATGTAGAGAAAGGAAGTAGTGAACGTACGATGATGTCTTGTGGTACATTAATTTTAACCAGTTTACATTAAAGTTATGCCCCAAATGACCTAACACACTGTCTTTGTCTATAGAAAATGTTCTTTTTAAATTCTGATACAATAGTTGTTATTCGAAAACTCATTTGATACTGCATAAGCCTAAAGAGTTGGTGTTGTTTCAGAACTAATGGATTCTCAGTAGCTAGCTAACAACATTTTTAGAACAATGATCGTGTGACACTGATTTGTGATAAATCTTTCATCTCTAGTTCTTGTTGACTAAGAATTTGTAAAATGTAATGGCGTGGAGAATTCACTGGTAAACATGTAACCACCGAAGTAAACGTTTCTCACAGCATTTCTTGTTATTATCGGTCGACAAATGTTAGTGGCATTTTTAATGAGTTTACATGTCCAGACAACGTATCATTTTGTACTTAGTTTTCTCAGTTCATGAATTTCTTGAATCTTATCAAACTTTGGGGCTTCCGCTATGAAGGTCAAAGTAAATTTTACAGCATGACGTAACGTTCACTTTCTATTCTGATCTTTTATATATTCACTTATTCTAGCTATTTCTCTCTTCTGAAACTTATATCTGCGGTACTTGTTTCCTATTTTTCACACCACGAAGTAACAAAAGAGAGACTTAAGACTCCGTAAGATGTAAGAAAATTGGATTCCTAGTGTTAATATTTCGCTGAAAGTAGGCTCAGTTAAACAGACCACAACAGTAAAAACACGATGTTGTAAACGGATCAAAGCACCGACTCACATATAATAAGACAGCTTTACGGATCAGTAAGTATTCCTTTGAAAATAGCAACAAGTCCTTATGTGTCAGTACCACACCAACCAAACTATGCGACATTTGTAAAGGCAAAAATGTTGTGAAGTGTGATAGAAGATTTCTTAACGACATGTCTGAGAACCTTGCGAAAAGAGTAGAAGACAGAGGGTTAGACAATAAAGATGTATCTCCAACATGCCTCAGTGCTGTCCTAAACAATGTACCCCAGGCGAACCACACAGCCGGAAAGAGAAGAACATGAATTAAGTGAGGCAAATGAACGCGAAAAGGAGAACATTGTACAAGTGGAAGGTCTCTCTGAAGCATTCAGACCATAGTCTTCATTCGTTAATTAGAAACAGATACAATGGCAAAGTTCGCAGTGATAAGAAACACTTCCAAACGGAGCTAGCTGACAAAATAAGGCAAACCCAAAATATCTGTTTAGGTTCATGACTAAAAGAAAACCTACAAACCAGGATGTTGTGTCGTCAAAGGCCCAAATAGCGAAGATCTCACCAACCTAGAGATGGCTGAGATCTCTAATGTCAACTTTACTGATCAGTTAAGCTAGGTACCTAAAAGTTCAGAGTACTATTCAAACCTAGTGCATGTGAAGGCCTAGGGAAATTCTGACTTACTCCAAATTAGTATTAAGAAAACTAATGTCTTTGAGTCTAGGAAAATCACCAGAATGTGACAATATTCGCCCTATAATCTTGAAACAGTGTTCAGAGTCCCTCAGTTCACCGGTATGTGATGTCATCAGGCGTTCACTGGCGTCACACTAACTACTAGCTGAAAGGAAAGAGGCTACTTCCTCTCCAATCTTCAAGGCAGGAGGCTGGAGGGCTCCAGCCAGCTACAGACCAGTCACATTACTACTGATACTATCGAACATGATGGAAGGAATAGTGAACGAATAAATAACGGGGAGAGTGGATAAAATCAACATCCTCCATGAAGCCCAACATGCGTTTTGGAAAGACCGGTTCTGCTGATCCAATGAGACTGCTAGACAACATTCTGGGACCAAGAAATACTGGACCATGCGAAACTAATTGACTTCGGTAGAGCTTTCAATACGGTAGCCCACTTGCTCTAAATAACGAAGGTGGGCATTAGATAAGCTCTGAAACCTCCAAGATAATTGAAAGTTTCATATCAGGGTAAGAAAGGTGCACACTAGCTGGCAAGTTCCACTATCGAGAGTATCATAAGAGACCATTTTCGTTTCACTCATCTTCCTGATATTTATTAATGACTTCTTAGGTAAATCAGCCCAGCTTCACTAATCTATGAAGACGATGTGAAGATCTGGAAGCCCATACGAAGCAATGAGGATTCAACTGAGCTTCGAAAGAACCCTAAAACAATACAAGAACTGGCGGTGGGAAACGGGTTCAAACACAACAAGTCGAAATGTCACGTTATCAACATTGTGCCTCACGTGACACAAACAACTTGTGTCCTCAATGGAATTCCGCTTTCTAGTGTCTACGCAGAGCACCATCTTGGTTTAACAACCACAAAAAGCCTAGATACTAGTTCGAACTACACAGAAGACGCAGCGAAGGCTAACTTAACTCACCACTTTATGTGAAGACAACTTGGTACAACCACCCTAGAATTGTTTCTGACTCCTTAAAGTTTACTCACAGCCCCTCTTCTCCTTAAACGAGACATAAGCCTCTTGGATCGAGTGTAGAGACAAGTAAAGAAAGGAACTCTCAGACTTGGGACTATTCTCGTTGAGTTACAGGCGAACAAGAGATGATTTGATAATGGCTTATAACATATTAGGTATTCCAAGTCATTGTAACGTAGGCATCCTACCAGTTCATCGTAACCACGTTCCTCGAAGTAACCCCCGAAAAGTTCCACGTCAAAGGGTAAACGCTTAGATACACCCCCACGTTCTGTTATCTGGAGTTTTTCACACTTGAAATGCTTTCTGAGCAAAAGTGACCACAGATACTTCACTGGACATCACGTAGTCACGCATAGGTTATCATCTACCGTTCGAACTAGCTCTACATGCTGTATATCTTGCATACTATGTCATCACTTTTATATCAGTAACTTATTTTTCTCGTTTAGCATCATTTCTGTCAATGTTGTTGGTTACTTTCTTCATCTACTTTGCCAATAATTAATTAGGTAATATGTCTATCGATTTTTTCTGGAACATTCGTTTTCCACCTACCTTTGTCACTTAATGATTTTCAATCTAGACATTGCGACTAACTGATCTACAGTCATGCAAAGTGGTGGATGGTGGTATCGAGAAACCCTACTATCATGAGACGAACTCATCTATTCAATTTACGAGACATATAAATTCACAAGTAACTGGTACATAATCCAATACCAACATAGGCTAGGCAATAGTTATTCAGCACACATGACGACAGACCATACAGAGCCACAATAAAACAAGGTCGACTCTCAATATCAGAAAAGGATACTTAATAAGAAATAGTGACAAAACATTTAGAAAGGCTAAGTGTTTGTTTGTATTCACTAACCAGCCACACATTACACCCATGGCAAATTATGAAACTAATTAAAACACCCACTTCTTATGGACATGACAGTTTTCTGTCAAGTACCGTAACGATCAGAAACTCTTGAATTTCCAAACCATAAGCTTCATAACTCAACTCACACTAGTTGATAAAATAAAAACACTGATTAATCAGAGAGATATGGCACCGAGTAGTTTTAGGAATCTGGCCGTTAGGTTAATTTGAATTTCGGAAATCAGACACAACTGAACTACAAAATTATTTGTCAGAGAAGTAGATGTATTCGTATAACTGGAAACATACTTCATCTCAAAAAAGAGCAACTCAAGCCAACCAATTCAACCTACATCCACAGCTGACTTCCTATACGGATACTTGAAACACTATTTTTATTCATCTTTTCATTTCCCGTTATCACTGATATGATTAGTAGGAATAATGTATAATTAGTTAACGAGAATTTATATTTATTAGCATAATCGTTGGTCAATTAGTGAAATCAAGAAATAGCAACAAGTTTACCAATGTTAAAGTGCAAGAATATCTCAATTAGCAAAGTCAAGTAATTGAATGATACAAGTCATTCTAACATTTAGTTCCAATATTTAAATCAGTTACTTGAAGTAAATTTAAACAAGGTGGTCAATTAACATTGGAAAATCAAACCGTAATCACAATATGGAAGCAATGAAATAGGATAGGCATAGAGGTAGATTAAGTATGTAAGAATTAGTTAATGTTCAGTCCAACTATCACGAAGTATAAGTATTTTTGGTTGGGATGTACGAAAATCCAGAAAACGTTTCATCTATACCATGAAGATTTCTTGCTCGCATTACAGAACATATAACGGAATCTGAAATCACATAAGAAAACATACTATTGATAATGTTTATTGAATTTTTTTCAAGCAATAATATAATTACATAACAGAGCCTTTATTAGAGGAATGATATTATTAAAAGTAACAGTGTTGCATTTCAGTATCTTCTATTCATGAATTACACAGTTGAACGATCAACGGAACTGATAATTGATTATTTTGAAATACTTATTTTCTGTTCTCAATAAACTTACAACTGATTGATCACTGGTTAGTGACCAGTGTCATATTTGTCTAGTCCTCATAATGCTGAACAAATTTTATCGATCAAGTTGTAATGAGGTCGCTAGTCTAAGTGACTTGAGACATTAGGTAGTTAAAAGTAGAAATCGTGAATCTAACTGATGACTCGGTCTTATTAACTTGGGCATATCATTAGGTGTAGCACTTTATCACATTTTATTCAACGCTTACAACTTGTTATGATGTTTTCTCTTGTAAATTCTCGTAAGCCCGCTATACATTATACACATTCTAAGCATAAGTGTGCAGTTCTAAGGAAGTAAATGTTTTCAAATCTGGGAATTTTAGTTAACTTAATGGGGGGGGAGGCGGATTGAGATATGTGTGAATCCAGTATCAGTCAATTATAGTTGTAAACAATGTTGAATCTAACGAGAATCGATCTAGACCCCCAACCTAGTTTCAACATTTTATATCAGATTAGTGGATAGAAGTTAATAAAAACAAAAAAAGAACAAATGCAATCAAAATAACAGTATTTTTAACAAAGCTTGAAAAACCAGAGAATAAAGAAGATAACTTTTAATGAATTAATAAAATCAACAACGGATGAAAAATACAAAAGGAAAAGTCAAATAATGAGTCAGTCGGTCAGCATAGAAATTCGTACGTACGTACATCAGTACACGTTGCCCTACCACATTAGCACAGAGATGTGATTGTCAATTGAAATCCCATAATAGTATAAGTAGTAGAGGTATTATCGATAATGGAGAAGATTAGGGTGCGAAGATATTATTCAAAAATTTAGAAAGAGAGAAATAGTGGTGATGAGGAATTCAGAAGATTAGAATTTGAGCGAAGACAAAGAATTGATGCATCTGCGCTATTGCAAACAATTTTGAGCCCTGCCCTTGTCTTGCGTACCCCGACCAGGTAGTTTAAACCTACCAACATGGCTTAGTCCAGTTGTCAGTGACTACATGGATTTGTACCGTGTTTCGTTTTTGCCACCCTTGGCTTTATTCTAGCCTACCTCTACATTACAAAGCATTGCTCATCGAGGCAGTCGGTGATAAACTGATGAACATTCACTACTTCATTAACTGATCTATCATCCTTGACGAAGTAGTGAGTAAAAGTGATTTTCCATCATCAATATTCAGTTGATATGCCATCATTTTTTTCAAACAGAATTAAATGGATAAAATAAATGAAAAAAAATTAGCTATACTAAATTCTAGTTATATCATCTACAATCTCCAACAAATGCATGTATCAAAATAACTGAGCAAACTGAAAAAAAGGCTAAAATAGACGAGTTAGAAAAAAATACATAACTTAAAATGAAAAGAGAACAAGAAATTGTAATTTGATCTATGAAGTATGGAATTCTAAATGAGAATTAATTAAATAACAAAAATTAACGGTTAAGAATTTCCGATGATAGAATTCTTTCTCCATTCAAAAAGTAACAAATCTGTAAATCTAAAACAATTAATCGTATTTCTGAAATTATTTCTATTTGTTCACTTATAACAGATAATATTTCATCTCAGTATAAATTAACATAAGTTAAGCTTTCTTCACATAAAAACATTGTACTTGTACAAAATAAAATTAAACATATCAATATTTCACTTACTTGGAACAGCAGAATTGACGAATTCCGGTGAAATATTTCGTGTATCACTTGATGAAGTAACTGATGGCAAAAATGGTGCAGTTAATTTACGCTCTAACAATTTTATCCAATCAATATCTTTGAAAAATCGATGTTTGCTAACTTCTTCAAAATCATTTTTACTTCCAAGTCGATGAGTTTTATCTTTTTGAAGTAACTGTAAAAGATTAAATTTACATTCAAACCATTTAAACTCTGCCCCTGGGAGTCAGGTCTTCATTAAGAAGAGTTATGATGTCTCATGATGAAAGCCGAGTTCCTTCGGAAGTCACAAGACCGATGCCCCTTTTGACAACCAGAGCAACCGTAAAGTTAGGTACATGGAACGATTCTGTGTGTTTATCTAGTTTGTTGACGCTAAGTGAATTCTATCAATGAAATTAAAATGTAGCTATTGATGTGAGTGACTCAAAATCATGTGCACAATGTTGGGATGTTAGCCACTTAGGCGTTAACCTGTCATTCATAATTATCATTACTCAAAGTAAACCATTTTAGTACTACAAACTGCGTATAATTTTACATAGCTTCGATTTCTATTCCTTGAACTACAATTCAACGGGGTTGTGGCTGGTGATCTCCTGCATGATAGAATAGCGAAGGCAATTAGTAGGACATTCTTCACAGCCAGTTTCGCGTTGACATTCTTCAGTAAAACAGTGATGAACACTTAAACGAAGTATAAGTTACCTGAGTTAGCTGCTCTGATGAAGATCACTAAATTGAGCGTACTATCAGGCAAAATAACCAGTGAAAAATTCAACATCTCCCAGCATGGTTTGGAAGGGGTTAGGTAAAAACAATACAAAGATCTGTCTTCGCACACCTGATTGATAGTGGTCATAATTAAGATAAAATCGGATCATGTTGAGTGATCTATCGTATACCTCCATTATTTCTCAACAGAGTTCGATCCTGTCTCCTACATATAGCAGAAGCCATAGGAATCCGAACCTCCAACTCCAATTTATGTGTTCAGAATAAATTTGAGACATGTCTGTCTTTTTCTTGGTCGGACGATCTTATTCTAGCAATATTAGCATAATTTTCACATGCTGTATTTGTTTATCACTTTCTCGCCTCTTTCTATGGGGTTCAAGCACACTGAGTGTGAAGAGATTACCCACCAAAGGCAAAGGAAGATAATTGCGAACTAGCATAAATTGACTGAAGTCATACATGTCAATCAATGGATACCGGCTCAGTAGTCTAAATGCTACACACTCTCCGTGAGACCTGAAGGTGGGTGGGTTCGTGAATATGTGAAACAAAAAACAACTGTCCAGTATTTTCCATTTCTTAATGATTAGCAATCTAAATACCATTTTGGATTATCTTAAACAGAACCAGGAATTCGAAGACAAAGCATGATGAGTACAAATTTTAATTACAAAATCATATTACATTTTATTGTAGGAGAATTTAGAAAAACTACTAACTCACACAAGATAAAATATTTTGAGTTGATGAACTAATTGCATTACGTGTTTTCAATGGTCTTTCCAATATATATCGATACATATGGGCACGATTCTCTGAATAGAATGGAGGTAAACCATGTAACATTTCATAAATAACACAGCCTAGACACCACCAGTCAACTGCGAAATCATATGGTTGTTTACGTAAAATTTCTGGCGCTAAATACTACAAAAAATATATGTAACAATGAAATAAAAAGAAATATTGTAACGTATATATATATACCATTTATTTAAAGAAAAAAACATCATATGAATAAAATGAAGACAACGTTATTCAAAATAAGCAAATAATATTCAAATAAGCAATCATACAAAAAAATATAGGGACTTGGGACAGAGTAGAATTGAACAAGTCAAAATAGATAGATGAACTGAGTGATCAACAGAAATCCTATTGCGAACACACCAAGCAGTATTGATTCCTTAAGGATTCCAAATGAGGCTTGCTGACTAACTCTAATCAGCATAGATACCAGATCCAGTTTTGGTTAAAGGTAGGGCTACCTAGTTATTATCCTCAACCACTTAAGTCGAAGTCGAGTTACTTAGAACAATGATTTTATTGCAATTTTATCGATAGAATCCGATCACTACTAAAGGGGATAAAAACAATAACTTGATCACTAATCAACGAACAGTTTGTGTGAGTGATAAATTTTTTCGTAAGACAAAATAATTAAAGTGGATTAATTTTGTTTTGTTGAGAACTGGATGAAATGATGATTTGAAAAACATTAGCTTTTCTCACGCTTCATAATGTAGTCTAAACTGAAACAAGAAATTGAAACGACGTAAAAATCATGATTAAGAGAAGAAATCAGTCTTAAAAAATACATTGGTCGGATGATGAGATATCCTAGTTTAAGTCAAAGTAAATACACACGTAAACAAATCAAATTTGAATGCAGTGAAAGCCAAAAAAACACAATGAGCCAAAAACTAGAAACTATTACCAACACAAATAATTAACAGTACCCTAAATATGTATTATAAAGCTACAGTTCTAAGAAATGATACAAAACTACATTTATATTTAAATAAGATACAATAGGCTAATTACATTCATGTAAGCTGAAAATAAGGAGACCTTACTGATACTACTTGGTCATGACAAGCAATATAACAGAAATCACTAAAATTAAGTAGAATGGACACCAAGTAGACGAATAAAATAGATAATCATAAAATATACCACGACAGGAAGTTGGTATGGAAATTATGTTGACCAGTTTTAATTTTAAATGAGTTCGTAAAAGATAATACTATACATATGATCCCGAAGTAATATCGCAGAACTTTAGACCCAATAATTACTCTCATATTTGAAAGATAGATAGTGGAAGATTACGGTAGCTATATACGGAGACTTCTTACATACTAAAGTGTACTTGAGAAGATGGTCAACATCATACGGAATTCGTATGATGGATTAAACTGCAAGATCGTGCATGTAGGACAGCTCACGGACTCGTTCCAAGTAAAGACCGGTGCAGGCAAGGTTGCTTACTCTCACCCTTTGATTTTCTCCTGGTGGTCGACTGGATTATGAAGACGTCGACATCTAAGGGGAAGCATGCGATACAGTAGACAGCTAAGACGTAGCAGAACGATCTGGACTACACAAATGATCTAACCCTTTTATCCCGCACACAACAAATGCAGGTGAAGATGGCCAATGTAGAAGTAGCCTCTGCCTCTCAACGTACAAAAGGGAAAAAGCAAGATCCTCCGAAACAACATAATATGCACCAACCAAATCACCCTTGATACAGAAGCATTGAAAGATACATAAACCCTTACATATTTGGGCAGCATTATCGATAAACAACGTGGATCTGATGCCGACGTAAAGACATGGATTAGCAAAGCAAGGGCAACATTTCTACAAATGAAGAACAATGAACTTAAAACAACTATCAACCAACATTAAAGCCAGAATTTTCAATACGGACGTCATGACAGATCTACTTTATGGAGCGGAAGCTTGAAGAAATAGGAAATCTATCATCATAAAGATTAGGTGTTCATTAAGAGTTGTCTACCCAAGATATTATGGATCTACTCGCCAGACACCATCAGTAACAACCTACGACTTTGAAACATGAATGATTTGAAGAAAAAAAGATTGACTCAATACC